ATGAGATTCAAGTGCAAGTCCAAAGGGCCTCTTCCCTCAAGCCAACACCCGTGCAAAAGGAGGAGTTCCACCAGGAGAGGAGAATCCGCTCCCTTCCGCCTAGCTCTTCGCTGCATCTGTTTATCTTCCCCTCTTGAAGCTGTCTGTGCTTGTAGCCGCCGCCACTTCCTGCAGCAGTGAATTCCACGTGTTACTTACTCTTTGGGTGAAGAGGGACTTCCTTTGATCTGTTCTAAGCCTACTGCTCATTCATTTCATTGAGTGCCCACAAGTTCTTGTATCGTCAGAAAGGGAGAAAGGTACTTTCTCTTTTGTAAACCTCTATTTTTTTAAACCTATTTTGTAAACCTCGATCGTGTCACCACTCAGTTGTTGTTTCTCCAAGCTGAAGAGCCCTGACCTCCTTAACCTTTCTTCCTAGGGAAAGTGTTCCATCCCCTTAATCGTTTTAGTTGCCCTTTCTTGCAACTTTTCCAATGCTATAGTAATAATTTTTTGAGGCGCGGTGACCAGAATGGCACACGGTATTTATTTATTTATTTTGATTTATACCCCACCCCCTTCCCACGAGTGGGCTCAGGGTGGCTCACAACAACCAACACAATGCAATCTGTCAGCACATTGGAGACTTTGCACATTGCTGGTGGCAGTGCCCGGAAATCAAAAAATTTTTGGTCAGAGGTGTTGAATATTATCCAAAAGATCCCCTGAATTCATGTTCCGCTATCTCCAGAAATCTTGTTTTTTGATGTTTGGCCTAAAGATCTACTAACTAGACCACATGAAGCTACGGTGGAAGTCATGTTGGGTGCAGCAAAAAACTGCGATTGCATCGTACTGGAAAGCTAATAAAGCACCCAGTATTGAGGTGTGGTGTAAGAAATTATGGAGCCATTATTTAATGGATGCAGTCACAAACAGGGTTCCCTCTAAGCTCAGTTAGTGTGAGCTGGCTCACAGTTTTTTAGCCTCCGGCTCACACATTTTTGTCTTGGCTCAGGAAGGATGGCTCCAAAGCAAACTAATTTATGCAGCAGCCAAATCACTCGCTCACAACTTTAATGCCAGTAGCTCACAAAGTGGGATTTTTGCTCACAAGACTCCTCAGCTTAGAGGGAACATTGGACTCACAAATAAAATAAATTTCTTACTCAAAAGCCAACTCGTAACAATCTTCACAGATAAATGGTACCCGGTGCTTGACTACTTATCTCAACAACAATTCATCTCTTCTGATTGGACACACAGTATCACAAATGGATTTAAAGACTGAAAGTTTGTATTACTGCTTTGAAATTCTTTTCTTTTCTGTTCTCTTTTGTTTCATTTATTTATTTATTGTTCTAGTTTAATATATATTTTCAAGGAGATAAAATATTTATGCTACATCAGACAGAATAAATACCTCTCCGAAAATTGAAAACATTAAAAAAAAATCTTAAAACAATCCAAATGAGAGCACATCATCGATTTAGACAGCCGCATTATGATACTGGCTGGTCTGCCTTCAGTTCCCTTCCTAATAATCCCCAGCATCGCATCTGCCTTTTTTAAATCTTAAAACAATCCAAATGAGAGCACATCATCGATTTAGACAGCCGCATTATGATACTGGCTGGTCTGCCTTCAGTTCCCTTCCTAATAATCCCCAGCATCGCATCTGCCTTTTTTTTATTGCTGTCACACACTGAGTTGATATTTTCACTGTGGGTTCCCCATGGGGAGGAAGGTCGGGTATTAAATAATACTCTGTTCCTTCACAGGAAGGAATTAAATGCAAGGCAACCAGGTAACTAAGGGAGGACCTAATGGCCCATTATGCAGAAAGGCAGCAGGTAGACTCCTCTCTAGGTGGATATATGGAACCCTCGGATGCTTTGAATTAACTGGGTGTTTTTGGTGCTACACGAGTGGAGTCTGCTGTACTGCCTGCTTCTCTAGAACACCTGACTCGAAAGAAAGCAGGAATCTCGACTTACTTTACGAGGCACGGTCATAGCAATGGGTTCACATTTCCTCTCGTGGAGCTTGTAAAACCTGGAAGGGGTGAGAATATCATTCAGGGAAGGGTCGTTTCTGGAGAGGGGGAGGAGGAAGGGTCTCGGAAGCCCAGAGGGCGCAGCAGGTGTTTCCCCCTGCCCCAGGTCATACCTGGCAATCTCACACTTGCTGACCTCCAGCCCGCGTTTGGGCATCCATCCCCCGCCTCGCTGGGACTCCTTGGAGCTGAACATGGAGAGATAGTGCACAAAGGGAGCCTCCCCTGTGAGCTCGAAGTAGCGAATGCTGCTGTCACCCTGCAGAGGAGGAAAGGCAATTCGGAGGGTTTTTCTTTCTCCACCAATGCATTGCTTGCGGATTTATTTATATCCGGGGTCAGTTTCTGGTCCGCCAACCCTTGCCGAAATGTCGGTTTCAGGATCCCCCCCAGAGGGCGCAGCAGGTGTTTCCCCCTGCCCCAGGTCATACCTGGCAATCTCACACTTGCTGACCTCCAGCCCGCGTTTGGGCATCCATCCCCCGCCTCGCTGGGACTCCTTGGAGCTGAACATGGAGAGATAGTGCACAAAGGGAGCCTCCCCTGTGAGCTCGAAGTAGCGAATGCTGCTGTCACCCTGCAGAGGAGGAAAGGCGATTCGGAGGGTCGGTTCTTCTTCCCTGGCCTAGGGCTTTGCTGCTTGAAAAGCCCTATTGTCCTTGTAGGCTGAGAGAGGCTTAGAAGAGATTCCCCAGGGGATGCTAGGCTTTTTTCTTTCTCCACCAATGCATTGCTTGTGGATTTATTTATATCCGGGGTCAGTTTCTGGTCCGCCATCCCTTGCCGAAATGTCAGTTTCAGGATCCCCCCTGCTGTCTCCCCGTTTAGTGTAATCCCACCCTGCGGTTACACCTTTGAGTGAAATCTTTACCAACTGTCCGAACAATCTGCTCCCAGACCAAATCCCACGGGTCCAGAACTCTTGAACGCATGGAGCTGCCTTACCCTGAATCGGACCAGTGATCCATCAGTGTCAGTATCGTCTACTCAGCTGGCAGCAGCTCTACAGGATGTTGGGTACAGGCCGCCAACCCCTTTTCTGGCGCACCGGCTGCTCTTGGGAAGTGGGTGGGGCCAGGTAGGGCTGTTGCCCAGCAAGCCTCCTGACTACGGGAGATTTTTAATTGGCTGTGCAGATTTTTTAAAAAATGTTGCTTTGGCAGCAGCTGCCTCCACGGCACAAGCATCCAAGCTGTGTGACTGAAGTTCAGCTGTGGTGATTATTTTGTGCCCTCAATATCACAGCTGACTTATAGGTCCTTCCCGCACTTAGATCTCATCCCTGGTTTTATCCGAGTTCAACTCGCGACACAATCCCTTGCATTCATCCCTGGTTGTAACAGCATCTGTTTATCCCGGGACAGGTGTGGGGCAAAACCAGGGCGACCTCAATGTAATGTGGAAACAAAAAGTACCCCGAGATAATTACAGGGGTGAACTCGAGTGTCGTGCAGAATGTCAGTTCGGGGACAGGGTCGAACGAGGATGGAAGGTCCGGTGCGGAATCACCCACAGTGCCCCTGTAGGGTTTTCGAGGCAAGAGATGTTCAGAGGTGGTTGGCCACTTCCTGCCTCCGCATCACAAACCTGGTATTCCTCGGAGGTCTCCCTCCCGGAAGGACCAGCCAGGACCGGCCCTGCTGAGCTTCTGAGGTCCAATGAGATCAGGCTCACCTGGGCCATCTAGGTCAGGGCTGCCACCACCCTGCCGTGTCAGAACTACAGCTGTGCCTGCAGGCTCAAATAGGTTGGGGGCCCTTGACCTCCTGCCAGGTCCTTTTAACTGGAGATGCCGGGGAGTGCACCTGGGACCTTCCCTATGCCAAGCAGACGCTCTGCCACTGAGCCACGGCCCCCTTTACCTTGCCAGTCAGGTAAACCACATTGGTGTCTGGGTCATAGTAAGGCAGCAGAACCCCACTGCTTGTGTCGAGCTCCTGGAGGGTCAACGGCTCCTCAGGATTCCTCTGCGGGGCAAAGAGAAGGGGAGATCAGGGCGAGGGCTCCACGTGGAGGAGCTTGAGGCGCAGAAGCCCAAGTTGTAAGACCGAAGAGCTGGTTTCTGTTTCCGCAGGACATTCAAATGCCCTCCCTTGCAGTTGCTGGACCCGGCGGTTCTGCCGTTGCTCGAAGGACAAATCCTGCTGACTGTTTGCTGGGCCGGAGCCACGAGCTTTGACCCAGGAAGTCCCTGGCAGTGTTCCCTCTAAGCTGAGTTAGTGTGAGCTGGCTCACAGTTTTTTAGCCTCCAGCTCACAGATTTTTGTCTTAGCTCAGGAAGGATGGCTCCAGAGCAAGCTAATTTATGCAGTAGCCAAATCGCTCGCTCAGAACTTTAATGCCAGACAGCAGCTCACAAAGTAGAATTTTTGCTCACAAGACTCCACAGCTTAGAGGGAGCATTGGCCCCTGGACACAAGTGCCATGAACTCATTCGGAGGTCACGGGCAAGCTGCTCTCAGGGACAGCCTCCCTCCCATCCCACTCAGCAAGACGGGGGCCATCTCCCCTCCCGTGCAGAATTATTGTAGGAATAGCTAAAAAGATGACTGCGCAGTACATTGAATGCTCTAAAGTACTCTGTAACTATCAAGTGTTGTTATTACAACCAAATCTTCCCTCCCAGTCATGCACACATCTGCTGCTGCTGCTGCTACTACATTTTCATCAAAGATCCTGTCTTTGTGACTGTCACAGGGAACAGTTCCAGTGCCCATGATGCGACTGCCAATGCCAGACCGCTGTCTGCCCCATGATGCCTGTATCTCTCTTGTATTTTTTAAAAGGGGTTTTGTGTTTTACGCAACGGCGTGAGCAAACGCGCGTTCCAGCACACGAGTGCTGGTGCTCGCCTTCCTTTCCCTAGCAATCTCTGTCAGCAATTTCCCTAGCAATCGCTGTCCTGAGTCTCTTCCTCTCTCAGAATCTTTTCTTTTCCAAAAGGGTGTGCGCATGGCCTCACTCCAGCCACCAGGACGGAAGTCACTCCTGTTGAGGCTCATCTGTACATAGCTGGAGGATCATTCTCTTTTTTTTTTCCTCACCGGGTCCCACAGGGCCACCTGTCGCTCACTCATACGGCTGAAGCCGGTGGTCAGCAGTTTGCATCTTGTTCTTGCATTGGAGAGTTCAGTTTGTAACCTAGGACTTGCTTGTCCTCAGTGCACAGAAATTACATCAATCTGATACCATATATATATATATATATATAAGAAATGATTTGGAAAATATTTGAACACCTGGTCTTAAAATATTTTATTCATCATGTTAAAATAAAACGTTCCATAATCAATTTTTTTTCTTTTCTTTTTTCAATTTTTCCAATTTTTTGGAAAAAACCAAAAAGGCTTCAGGAAAAAAACAGAAAACGTTTTTCCCCCGATTTTTTCCGTTTTTTTTCCGGGCCTTCACATCTCTAGGTGAGCCCATTTCTCTTCACTGCACCTGATCATTCTCTGGGTTCCACCTTTCCCTCTTTCTCCAACACATTAAGGACTTGGAAGCTGTCCAGCGGTACCAGATAGTACAGGACAAAGAAAAGGTTGGAACAACATCAGATGATGTTGTCAATGACCAGTGTTCCCTCTAAGCTGAGTTAGTGTGAGCAAGCTCACAGTTTTTAAGCCTCCGGCTCACACATTTTTGTCTTCGCCCAGGAGGGATGGCTCCGGAGCAAACTAATTGATGCAGCAGCCAAATTGCTTGCTCACTAATATCACTAGCTCACAAAGTAGAATTTTTGCTCACAAGACTCCATCGCTTAGAGGGAGCATTAGCCACGATCAGCAGGTGGTTTGTTTTTTTAAAATAATGCAACAAATTCATGGACGAGATGGCTACGAATGGCTTTGAACCGTAATCGTTCCCACTGGACTGTTTTGGATTGCTAGCTATCGAGGGGGGGGGACGGACGTGCAGATCTGTCCTCGCAGAGGAGGGAGAGCGTGTACCTGAATAAAACCTGGTCTTAAAGGTGCCACTGGACTGTTTTGGGCCGGGGGGGGGGGGCTCTGCAACTTACCTGGCTGCTTCTTGCTCTGACTGAGGGCTGCTGAGAGCAGGGGGTGGGGCTTGTTGCATGTGCCCGCCCCCTGGGCTCTTTACTGCCGGAGCTCCACTCCTGGGCGCTCCTGCAGGAAATGACCCCTGACTAGCTCACAAAGTAGAATTTTTGCTCACAAGACTCCACCGCTTAGAGGGAGCATTAGCTACAATCAGCGGGGTTTTGTTTTTTTTTAAATAATGCAACAAATTCATGAATGAGATGGCTACGAATGGCTTTGAACCGTAATCGTTCAGAATGAAACTTTCAAGTTCAGAGTCAGTCTTCCCTCTGATACTCAGATGCTTGTGCCAAACAAGAAGGGATCAGGAGCTTCATCACTTGCTGATGCCAGATGAAGAGCCAGCATGGTGCAGCGGTTAAGAATGTCGGTTTAGGATCTGGGAGAGCCAGGTTCGAATCCTCGCTCTGCCCTGGAAGCTGGCTGGGTGACCGTGGGCCAGCCACACCCTCTCAGCCTAACCTACCTCACACGGTTGTTGGGAGGATAAAACAGAAGAGGAGAAGGATGTGAGCCATCTTGGGTCCCCATTGGGAAGAAAAATGGGGTCTGAATGAAGTAAAATAAAATGCCCCATCATGGCCCGTGCTGGAGTTCAAATGCTGGATCAGATAGATGTCTGGTCTGATTCAACAAGGCAGTCGCTGGTAGATTCCCCTCCACTCTCCCCCATGAGTCCAGATCTGCACCCTCCGGCACTGCCGGATTGAGCTTGCAAGTCACACTTACATTGGCAACTTTGCCCCCTGCCCGCGGGTCAAACAGCCGGACACGCTTGTCCCGGCAGGCCGTGCAGAGCAGAGATCCGTCCCGGTTCCAAACCGTGCTGTAGATGGCATCCGGGTGCAGGTCGTCCAACGAGATTGACGCCTGCCCGACTCCCACGTCCCAGACGGTCACTACGTTGTCACAACCTGTAGAGTTAGCAAGGCCCAGAGATGAAGGAAGGCAGCTCGAAAATCAGTAAAGCTGAGAGAAGAAGGGAGATTGGATTTATACCCTGCCCTTCACTACCCAAAGGAGTCTCAGAGCGGCTTACAATCTCCTTTCCCTTCCCCATAACAAACACCCTGTGGGGTAGGTGGGGCTGAGACAAGAATTGCTCCTGAGAGAACAGCTCTGAGAGAACGTGACTGACCCAAGGTCACGCCAGCAGCTGCAGATGGAGGAGTGGGGAATCAACCCGGTTCTCCCAGATTAGAGCCTGCGCTCCTGACCACAACACCAAACTGGCTTTGGCCATGCTCGGACTGTAGCCCTCCGCAGCCAGCCACGCCTGTCGCTTGCTCCTTACCTGCGCTGAGCAGAAGATTTTGCGCCGTCGGGTGCCACGTGACAATCCCCACCCGCTTGGAGTGGCCTTCGAGGGTCACCAGGGGTTCGTTCAAGGACCTCACGAGGCCAGCTTCGGGCACTGCCCAGACCTGAGAGCAAAAGAAGGCCAGGTGGAGGGCAGCCCGTGGACTTTGTCACGCCCAGTAATGCCTTCTTTCCTTACTCCTGGCCCAGCTCCACAAGAACCCCCTGCAGCTGATAGGGGGCAGATGATAGGGGGCAGATGTGTGACCTGTCCTATGGGATGGTGCAGAGGATTCTGGGATGCAACGCTTGGATCGCTCCCACCCATCCTCAACAAGGGACTACAGAGCATGGCTCTCAGTCTGTGACGTGCAGGGCCTTGGGACAGAAGACTGCCTGAGAGCCGCCCTTCTCAGACTGCCAGGGAACTCTCCCTGTGTGACCTGTCCCCTTTCAGTCCCAGTAAGATCCCCCCGTTTGAAACCTTCTGTCCCTGCAAGTCCCCGTCCCTCCCTCATCTGATGGCGCTGTCCTTTCCCCACCGCCATCCTACTGCCCCACCCCATTCCCCTGATCACCTAACTCCAAAATCTGCCTCCTCCTCTCAGGCCGGCTCTTTCTCACAGAAGCCCCGCCCACTTCCATCCCAAGCCACACCTCCTCTCCCCCACGGCCAGCGTCCCTTCGCTCCTCTCCTCCCCGTTTGCTCGCTCGCTCACCATAACGCTGCAGTCCTCGGATCCGCTGGCAATGACATGGTCGTTGTGGGGGCACCACTCCACGTCCAGCACTGGGGCCGTGTGCCCCGAGACCACCGGGTGGGACTTTTCCAGGCGGCCCGTCTGCAAGGACACGGAGATGGAGAGGGAAAGTACAAGCTTTTGCACAACACAGAACGTACCCTCAGCCTGAAGGTGCAGGTTTATTTGGCGGTGGGAAGTGCTGTCAAGTCACAGCTGAGGTGTGTTTTTGATCAAGTCACCGCCCTAGTGGGTTCTTCAAGGCAAGAGGTGTCCAGAGGCGGTTGCCATTGCCTGCCTCTGTGTCTGAACGGTGGACGTCCTTGGCGGTCTCCCATCCGAATACTAACCAGGGCCAACCCTGCTTAGGTTCCGAGATCTGACAACGTACCTAACCTCTAAAAAAGCCCCTGTCCATTCAACTGTGGGCTCTGAAGAGCTGGGGAACTCTTCCAGGTTAGCTGAGGTGACCCCTCCTCCTGGCACGAGCAATGCCGTAATGTAAAGGGCTGTCCAAGCTTAAAGGTGCAAAAACGTTCACTCTCTTCCGCCCCCCTCTTTCTCCCTCTGTCTCATTTGCACTCACAAGCGGCTTGACAGGACAGTTCGAGTCAAGTCCGGCCGCATAAATTTATATGTAATTGCATGGGAACGCTACTAAGTTACCACTCTTTTCCTATTGACAAAAGTTGCACTAAGGGACGATATGTCATAACTGAGTCATTGCAGAATGGTGCAGCTATGAATAAATGAAAGAGATGGTAGCACAGCAAGTTGCCTCTTGGACTTCAGCAATCATAACAAGAATGCGCTTGTGACTCTTACATCTGTGTGATCTCCAAGGTGCTAAAAGCAGGGGGTACCCTGGAAGATGGAAAGGTCTGTCTTGCCAGCAGATCTCCATTTATGGCTCTTTGGATCCAGTCCTCATATAAAAATCTCTCACATCAGTTAAACCACATAAAATGAAAGTACACTTAATTTCCCCCCCTCAGATATTTCAGTTTTGTCTGTTTTGAAATACTTTAGACATTTATGCAGCTCAAAAAATTAACATCCCTGTCACTCTGTTTGACAAGTCCAATATAGTAAATTGGATCTGAATCCACCTGTCTCTCACTTTTCATCCTTCCCTTCCCCCAAGGATTTCAGAATTGGAAATAGTTCTTCCCTCCTTCATTTTCTCTTTAAGACAACCCTATGAGGTAGAAGAGAAGAAGAGAAGAGATTGGATTTATACCCCGCCCTTCACTACCCAAAGGTGTCTCAGAGCGGCTTACAAACTCCTTTCCCTTTCCCTCCCCACAACAGACACCCTGTGAGGTAGGTGGGGCTGAGAGAACTCTGACAGAAACTGCTCTTTTTCAAGAACAGCTGTGCCAGAATTATGGTTTGCCCAAAGTCATCCAGCCAGGTCTTTGCGGGGCTCATCTCCGTTTCAAAGCCGAAGGGCCAGCACTGTCCGAAGACGTGTCCGTGGACCGGACTCAAATCTAGCTGTTCTCCTGCGGACCGACATGGCTGCCTCTGGAGCGGGAAGGAGGAATCCTGGATCTCAGATCTCCTCTTAGAGTCCGTGTGGGTGTCTCACAGGCAGAGTTCCCATCGCTCTCTGGGCAAGCCTCCAGGGCCTTCACCAGCCGCACAACAGACAGGAACTGTCCCCTGCGGTTTTCCAGTGTTGGCGGAGGATGCGCAAGGCCAGGCTGAAGCAGGGCACATGCCAGGAGAGGACCCAGCTCCTCTGCACTCTCTCTCTCTTGGTTGGGCCCTCCGTTTTCTTCCAGATCGGTGTTTCTTTTTTTAGAGCTGGAATCTCCACGCCTTTCAAAGCAGATTGCATTTGCACGCACACAGACACTCATCTTGAAACTTCATGGGTGGGAGTGTTGTTTTCTTCCCCGTAATGTGCAGAAGCCAACAACACTTTTTTAAGAGCCAAGGGGAAGAGCTCCTCGTGGCGAAGCTGGGTGCCAGTCAGAAATTTTGTGCTCCTCCCCTGGGTACCAGCAAAGCGGCTGATTTTCTTCCTTCCCAGCTGTGCGCTTTGTTCCTTTGTGTTTACACAAAAAAAACCCATATAACC